CCCCCCTCCCTCTCTCTCTCTCTCTCTCTCTCTCTCTCCCTCCCCCTTTCCCTGACTCCATCCCGTCCTTCTTTCTCTTTTCTGTCTCTGCCCTTCCATGTCTCCACTCCCTCCTTCTGGCTGCCCTTCCTTTCTTCCTGCCCACCATCTCTTTTCACACACACACACATGCAGGGCAGAGTGAATAGAGGCCTCCACCTGCACTTTAAGAACAGATGGGTGTAGACTCTTTTTTTTTTTTTTTTTTTGACGTGACTCTTTACAGTTATTTCGTTTCTGCATTTCCTCTCTTTACCAGCTGGGTTTTTTCGAATATTCCCACGATGGGTTTTTGGAAATTTGGACAATAACTATTCATATTTGTGCGTCACCACTTTTGAACAGGTTTCAGTCCTACAAATATTTTCATTCGTGTACTTCCTATAGTTGGTTTCTGTCACTTTGGTCTAAAGCAGGGGTGTCAAACATACGGCCCGTGGACCAAACCTGGCCCGTTAGGGTGTCCGTACCGGCCCGCTTGATGAATTAAAAAAATTAGAATTAAAAAAAATTATATATACTGTATATTATAATTATATATAATTATATTATATATATATAAAAAAAATTATATTTCATTAAATATAAAGATTTATCCAATATACTTCAATGTATGTGGCTTGTATGTGGCCCATGAACCAAAATTAGTTTGACAGCCCTGGTCTAAGGCATAAACTGTTCATTTTAAAAAATTAAAATCAACAAATTAAGATCAACATGTCTCTAAAATAGACAAATAACAATAATATATAATAATAGTAATAAAACAAAAAGTCTTAAAAGATTTGAAAACCAAACACTATAAAAAATTTTTTTTTTAAAAATCCTCAGATTGAACTAACGTAATACAGGGTGGTTGATGAACGCTGCGCAAAAAAAAAACAAAAAAAAACGCGGTAACCATCGTACAAAATTCAGATATAAAAGCCCCAAAAAATCCTGTTGAACACATATTTTCCTCAAGTCAAAACCTAATTTTTTTTTTTTTAAAGTCTACTGCACCAGACTCTAACCGTTGAACTGAATTTTCCTCTCATACTGCCCGTCAAAACCTAATTTAATTTTAAAAAAAAAAGTCTACTGCACCAGACTCTAACCGTGTCTGTTACATACAGTAAAAAAAAAAAAAAAAAAAAAAAAAAAAAAAAGATGTAGTGATTTTTCTCTCACGTTACATCTGTACTCCTCGGCCAGCCCACCTTATGCTGCTGCCTCCTTGGGGCGGAGCAGTAGATATGCAGTTGGGCTTCATCTATAATGCAGTCCCTTCCACAGGACAAATGACCTATTTCCACGCCGACCACCGCAGGAACACGGCCCCAGGGCGCTGGGCCCGTAAATCAGCGACCGATTGTTTCATTGCGTACGGTTCAAAGACGGACGGACGGACGGTCAGAGTGGTTTAGTCCTTTCATGTCTAAGGAGGGATGACCTAAACCTGCTTCGCTAACGGTGGTTATTTGCCTCGTTATGAATGAGCTCGTGGACCCGGCCATTGTTGGTCCCCCGAGCCAAGGTTAAACCACTTGACCTCTAATTTCTCTCCTTTTTCTTAAACATAATTACAGATATATTTGCGGTGAATACATTTCAATGATGAGTGATTTAATTAAACGATACATTTTTCTACTTATAACATAAGAACCACAAAATATGAGAACGGATTTAGTGGTTCCCAAACTTTCTTTTAGCGCCCCCTTGTTGTAGAAAGGACCAGTGTCAAGGCCCTACTTTGGGGTTGTTTTTTTTTTTCTTTACTGATAGCTGCGTAAATATACTGTAAATCATATTTTATTTATCTGCTACATCAGTGTTTCCCAATTTTTTTTTTCTGGGCAGCCATATTTTAAAATGCACAAACCTTCGTGACCCAAGTCTATAAACATTATTCATAAATCACAAAATAAAGGTGTACTATAAAGGTATTTTATTGTTGACCGAGTGATATCCGAACTATTAATTAATTAATTAATTAATTGTTGCGACGACCGCCAAAAAAATCACTTGCGACCCACCTGAGGGTCGCGACCCAGCCTTTGGGCAACAAAGTGCAATGTGCTACACCAATGTTTAGCGACGTTTTTTTAAACCCATCTTACCCTGGAAAAATCCGAAAGCACGTCATCGGACGAAAAAGTCCCAAACATAACGATCTTTGAGTTTTACTCACGATATACTTGCTCCTGTTTAGTTGAACACAATGCTGAAGTACTCACAGGAATGAAAGAAAGACAGACAAGGATTACTTTAACCGACTCAGTCGCTCTTTATTTTTTTTTAAAGTTTAATAGCTATCTTCTGCCACCTAGTGGAGAAGAATATAACTATTATAAATAGGTACATGCACAAGTATAAGATATGTTATAATATTTTGTAACAATATTTTATATTACATGATGTACCTGCGCAAGTAAAAGAAATACTTTTATTTTATAATATTTTGTAACAATATTTTATATATATATACTCTCTGCTCCTCATTGTTCTGTCCTTCAACTCTTTTCTCTTTCTTGTTTTTGTGAAATGATCTTAAATGATCCAGTTATCCATGTTACATTTTGAAATTGTACGTAATCGCAACACAGAAGTAGCCAAGTCTTTGGCTCTGGGCTGGGACGATAAAAGTGTGAATGAGTCATCATTAGGCTTAAGGAATGATAGAGCTGAAGCCACCGGCTCCACCTCCACCAGTCTGCCGAGCGTCAAACCCACCTCAGGCCTAAGCATTTGGGAGCCCTTTTGAATCAGTATATATTTTTTTTCTTCTTCTTCTTCTTCGAGATGCTAACTTGTGTGCACAACGTGAGCTTCTTCTTCTTCGGGATGCTAACTTGTGTGCACAACGTGAGCGTGTGTGCCTTTCTGCTGGTGTGCGATCGTCTGAGGGGAGATGGCGAGCTTCGGTCATTAGGTGCTTGTGTTTTTTTTTTTTCTCCCCCCGGCTTTGTTTACCGAATGAAAGCGGCTCTTCTGACACAAAAGCGCCCAGGTCTGTCGACTGACTGCAGCCCCACTCACAGTTCACACTTAATGTGAATAAATGGGCTTAATTGTGGGCCCTCATCACAGCTGCGGTTAGAGGCACGGCGTCTGAATCTTCGCTATGAGCAGAAAAAAAAAAAAAAAAAAAGCACCTTTTGAAGCACCTTTAGCACATTAGCACATCAAAGAATCAAAAGCATCAGTTAAGCCTGAAAGCCTTATTGTTATTTCTGCTGATTAGTTCCTTTTTTTCTGTTTTTTTGTTTTTTTATTTTGAGATTTTCTCACAGGTTCGATTCGGAGTGGTTACTTAATTACTGCAGCGTTTTTTTTTTTTGCATATTGTGGAATGCTCATTTGTACAGATAGGAGGCAGCAAAAACGCTATCTAATAACAGCCCTGCTTTCCTGATTAATGATCCAATCTAATAAGATTAATAATATCGAAACTTTTATTAAACCCTAAACGTTAAAAAAACTCACATTTTAAATCGTCGGCTGCTGCGCCGTTTACCTATTTGTCCAGATTTGCAAATTTTAATACAAACACGTGTGCGTTTCCTAATGAACATATTACTTTTTCATGTTGGCCTCGTGAATCCACGCTCATACAAATTGCCTGGAGGGCTGAATTCCTCAGCCACAGCTCTGTTAGTCCTGTAGTCGGATGTCATAATGAAAGCCTGTTGCCATTGGCCCTGTGGTAAAGTGGTGAGAGAGAGAGAGAGAGAGAGAGAGAGAGGAGGAAGAAGAGAGAGAGAGAGAGACTGACAGTGTATCTGGGGGATGGGGAGGATGATTCAGCCTCATGTCTGGTTAAATCTCAGCTCCCTTCACTGGGCCTGGCTCTCGTCAAGTCAGTGTTTGTGTTGCAGCAGTAGCGAAGCAGTTATTGTATCTAGAAACTGAGCCGAAAATTTAACCAGCTTCCTTTTAAGAATATTTGGCTGACGGGGCAAACCTATCGCCTGATTTACATATAGGATATACAGTGGAACATCATCCGTTCCAGGACCGAGCTCGTAACTGGAGCTGCTCGTATCTCGAATCATTTTTACCATAAGAAATAACAAAAAAAATAATAAAAATAAATTAAAAACTGCCTTATTAGTGCTGATAACAATGGAAAAACATGTTTTTAATCGCTATAGAGACAAATTATGGTATATAAGGATTCCTGTGATAGAAAATAAACCTTACCTTCGAGACAGACGATACGGTAGCGGCTAATGGTGGCATGTACGTAAGAGGAGGAGGGAAGGAAGAGAGTTAGCTAGTACGTAGACGCTCGATTCCGTACCGTACCCTACCCTTACGTAAACGTAGAATTGCCTTAACTTACGTTTTTTTTTTTTTTTTTTGCTTTTTTTGTTTTTTTTTTCTATTTTTAACGGGCCCCGCGCTCATCTTTAACGGGCACCGC